GGCGTGTGCGTGGTCGCAGGTGCAGGCTGCCCTCTCTCTTTTTGCAGGCTGACTCGGTACGTCGTGCTGCTGTGCTTCACCAAGGTTCTGAAAGCCGTGGGGCTGTTTGAATCCTACGACCTTCTGAAAGCGGTCCACCTCGTGCAGTTTATCTTTATAGTGCAGCTGGGGTGAGTGTGCAGGGGGTGAAGCCTTGCTCGCTGCCGTCGCAGCCCGCTTTGCCTACGGTGGTCTTGGTCAGCATCAGGCTTAAACCCTGCGTTATGTGACTGTAGATTAACCAAGGAGAAGGCATAGCAGTGGATCCACGAAATACTTTGTTCATAGCAGCGGTTTTCCTTCATGTCTGTGGTCTCTTATCATTTCAGAATCACAGAATGCTTCAGGTTGGAAGGGACCCATAAGGGTCATTGAATCCAACTCCCTGCTCCTCACAGGACCACCTAAAACTAAACTATATGACTGAGAGCATCACCCACATGCTCCTTGAACTCGGGCAGGCTTGGTGCCATGACCACTTCTCCAGGGAGCCTGTCCCAGTGTCCAACCACCCTGTCCATGAAGAACCTTTTCCTAATGCCCAGTCTGAACTTCCCCTGACACAGCTTCATTCCATCTCCTCATGTCCTGCTGCTGATCACCAGAGAGAGGAGATCAACACCTCCCCCTCTCATATCCCCCTTGGGGAAGTTGTAGGCTGTGATGCTCTCAGCTGAGGGCAATGCCCTCAGCCTTCTTTTCTCCAAGCTGAGCAAACCCAGTGACCTCAGCCACTCCTCCCAAGTCCTACCTTCCAGACCTTTCACCACCTTGGTCACCCTCCTCTGGACATGCTGTAGTAGTTTGATGTCCTTACACTGAGGCACCCACAACTGCGCAGAGCACTGGAGGTGGGCCTGCACCTGTGTGGTGCAGAGTGGAACAGTCAGCCCCTGTGACCGGCCAGCTGTGGTGCTGGATGCACCCCAGGACATGCCCTTGTGGCTGCCAGGGCATGCTGTTGACTCACATTCAACTTGCCATCAACCCAAGCCCCCAGATCTCTTTCTGCGGGGCTGCTCTCCAGCCTCTTGTCCCCCAATTTGGACAAATAACCAGGACTACCCTGCCCCAGGTGGAGAATCTGGCACTTGCTCTTCTTAAATTTCATATGGTTGGTGACTCCCGAGCTCTCCCGTTTGTCCAGATCTCTCTAAGGCCTCTCTACCCTAGAGAAACGTCAGTGGTTTTTGCTACTTCAAAATTGACCATGCTGTGACAGTACGGACTGTAGGAAACTCAGGCATGTCCAAATTTTTTTAAGAATGTAGAAGGCAAGCTTTCTTACAATCATAGAATCATTCAGGTTAGAAAAGACCTTTAAGATCATCAGTCCAACTGTTAACATTGCCAAGTCCACCATGAAATCATGTCCCTATGCACCACATCTACACGTTTTTTAAACACTTCCAGGGATGGGGACTCCACCACTTCCCTGGGCAGCCTGTTCCAATGCTTGACAACCATTTCGGTGAAGAAATTTTTCCTAATATCCAGTCTAAACCTGCCGTGGTGCAACTTGAGGCCATTTCTTCTCATCCTATCACTTGTTGCTTGGGAGGAGAGACCAACACCCATCTCACTATAACCTCCTGTCAGGCAGTTGTAGAGAGCAGTAAGGTCTCCCCTCAGCCTTCTCTTCTTCAGGCTGAACAACCCCCAGACTTTTGTTCCAGTCCCTTCACCAGCTTAGTTGCCCTTCTCTGCACATGCTCCAGCGCCTTGATGTCTTTGTTGTAGTTGAGGGGCCCAAAACTAGACACAGTATTTGGGGTGCAGTCTCACAGGTGTCAAGTACAGGGGGATGATAACTTCGCTAGTCCTGCTGGCCATGCTATTTCTGATTTTCCTTATTATTTGTATTCCTGTATTTCTTGTGAGCTTCAGCTGCTATTTTTTCCCTGATTGAGAGCTGAAGTGTAGAAACTGATAGCAAATATACAGAAACAACCTTTGCAGACACAGTCCTGCTTCATGTTTAACTGATACAATGTGGAAGAGCATTTCTGTAATAAACGCGGCAGAGTTGGAACATTTGGAACCTCATTTTTTCCTTTTATTTCAAATTTGTTTACATTTGTGGACTTCTTGCTTGCATGTTCCCAAGCACCATGGTAATTTACCCCATCACTTACTCTTGATCCCAGTTGAGGAAGATGCATCCTGTTTCGTTTCGTACCATTTCTACCAAGAGTCTGTATTCAGCATTCCATATGTCAATAAGCCTTTGGGTGTATGTATCTTGGTAATAAAAAACATAGTAGTATTTCTCTTTCAAACTTCTTGAGATCAGTTATTTTGATTTTTGTAAATCACAGGTAGACTTCTTGTTAGCCATTCTCTGAAGACCTTGCATTTAAAATTGACCAGAAATGAAGTTTACTTGTCATCACCTTTGTACTGGTGTCTGGCATGTGTCATGCAGCAGGGAAAATAAAACCAGTGAGTGTGGTCAGTGTGGCTGTTAACGAAAAATGTAGAGGAAGCCATTTTGTGAACTGAGCCTGATAGGAGAGGCCTAGTTATTTAGAGCTGGTTTGAATAAAAAGCTGACTGCTATTAAATACACTAATGGAGAAAACTTTCACCCTTTAACAGGTCTGCATTTTTTATGGTTTTGTTTCAAAAACCATTTTCTTCTGGAAAAGTGGTAACCAAGCGTCAGGTGAGTTAACATATGTAATAGTGATTCACCTCTTTGTAGATACTCTTGACAATGTGGCTCTTGCCAAAAACAAAAGCAGAACAAAAGTTACTCCACTTGGAAGATGTGTTTGTAATTTCCAGAAGCGTGTAACTAACTTTGTGTCTAGCACACTGTAAAAAACAGGTTTTTTAGCTTTTGTCAGCTCCTTTTGAGAGTATCATGAAAAGATTGGTCCCTGGCTCCATTCAAGCATCTATTTTGAGTCCTGGATTTTCAAAAAGAGCTTAGCGTACTTAGCTCACTTCCACAGTTCAGAAGGGCAATTCCTGGACTGCCAGAATGTCGAAGCGCTGCAGTCATGTCGCCCACACCAAAAGAGTGCTTTCTACGTGATGCATGGTGATGAGGGGCCAGTGTAACTGCTCTTCAGACCTGAATGGAGTTCACAGTATCCCGAGAAGTTAAGAGTAGGGCCACATTGGAACCCACTGTTTTGCAGGAAAGAAACTTACTTCACCTGCTCCATAGTCATCTTGGTTTTATGTAGTTGCATGTGCAAAAACTTGATCCATGCGGTGTTACCAGTGTATGTGCTAAATAGAATCTGAAGGATAGCCTCAGAAGTGTTCCAAATGCCAACTGCTTTCATGATTAGACATGTATGGCAGAATTTTCAGTGTGAACACAAATAAATTGCATCTTTGATTTGTGTTCAGAAAAATCTGTCCATTCGTGGTTTCACTCTTGCTAAAAATGTTAAAATCCCAGATTTTAAAGATGTGATGTTTGTCATAGGTACTTTGTCATGTATAACATACTTCCAAAATTAATTACTTCTCTTCAAAAACTCATATTTAGAGTTAATAATGTGTTGAATAACTGAATTATAACCTGCTTCCCAAAGAAAGAATTTAACACGTGCATGAATATTTGTAGACTTAAGGTCTTAGTCTCTCTATCTTGGATGTTTTATCTAGTTCTGTATATGTTTATCAGATATTTACAATGGATTACAAAAGTAAAGCATCTGTGACAGGTAAATGGACTTGATTTTCTTCAGCTTTTTTTTTCAGGCTTTTTGTTAATGAGATCTCAGACGACACTATAGAATCTAGTACTGTGGTAGAAAAGAAATAAGTAATTCTGGTTCAATAACATGTTCAAACAAATGGTAGTTGCCTGGCAGAGTAGGTAAGAAGATAATCATACTCTAAATTTTGCAGAACTTGCAGAGCATGTGTTTGCCCCTCTGTTTCTACAGATACTGTGCTAAATGCTAATAATGGGTTGTTTGTTTTGGAACTGTGCTATGATAATGAAATACCTTTCTTTTGTAGTGGATCAAAATTTTTAAGCATGCCGTTGTGGGATGTATCATTTCACTCTTGTGGTTTTTTGGCCTTACTCTTTGTGGACCACTGAGGTAAATATATACTGTAAAGAATGTTTTCTCTTTTTAAGCTAATTTTTGTGATCTTCCCCTGTGTTGCTCCTTTGTTTCTTGTTTTCTGTCTGTCAGCCCATGATGCCAGCCTCTTGCTTTATTTTTTGACATTTTAAATGAATCTTTGTGCTTTTTCTGTGAATTCTGTTGGGCTTGGAAAAAACTACATATAATTTTCTGTAGAACTTGTAATTTTCTTCACTCTTTCTTTGACAAGATGCCAGTGAAATTCTTGATAGTGCTTCAACTGTTGATGTGAGCGATACAACAAGATCACTGACTGTTTTACTGCCTGTCATTTTCGTCTTTTCCCTGGTCTCGTTTACGTAATTCCAATTGTTTATTTAACTGTTTGAAGTCCATTGCTTGACAGATGGTGGTAGCAGCTTGTATTCCTGTCCCAAGAGGCTAGAATCAATTTCTGCATTTGTATGCAGGGCACTGCTTTATCTGGTCATATACCTGTGCTGTGCTGGAATTGGGTAGCATTAGTGCATATACTCCAATAAAATCACTTGTGCTGTTCGTTAGCAGTACTGAGTAACTATAAAATAATAACAGCCAACTTCCAAAAACGAAGGCTAATGTATTAGAAAGCATCTTTCATTAGAGAGAGGAAGGTAAAGCCCTAAATTACACATTTTATGAAGTTGAAGTTTTAGCCTCTACACAGGAGAAGGCATACCTGAGAATAATAGGATTTCTTTAAGAAATATTGTAGTGCCTTTCTGGATGCTGGCATTCTTCTCAAACAGAACCAGTAACATGGGCCCTAGCAGGTAGTATTGCTATGCAGAGAATGGCAGAAGCATTTGGTAAACTTGGCAGCATTTGTTACTTTCATGTTCTCTAGAAAGCTGTCGTTACAGCTTGCTAGTCAGCCTTTGCTGTCTGAAGAAGATAATGTGCAAGTTAGAATTTCTTATTTTCAGTGATTAAGAGATTCTGAGGTTGCATAAACTACACTTTCAGCACCTCAATAAACAAAATACAATGCAACAGAACAGGACCTCTTTTTTTCTGGGAGCCAGAAACTTTGGTTTAGAGGCAGTATTGTAATGGGAATCATAATTCCATCTTGAGCAAGTAAGTATCTTCTTGTGTTACTAGAAGAAAGTACGATGTAAAATAATCTATAAATGAATAATTTTCATCTGTTCCTGGAATTACAAAGTTCTTTGTTTTGTGATATGTCTACCTGTCTGCAGCTAGAGCTATTGCTGGTGAAGGCAAATGCATTTATCCTTGTGAATTGCTTAAACTTGCTGTTGGAGTCACAGGATAAATCTTTTGACTGCTGTGTCATTGAATTTTAGCTGAAGTAATATATATCAAGCTTGTGTGGTAAATTCCTTGTAAGTGGACATAAGTCTTTATTTCACTTTTTTATAGGACATTACTGCTCTTTGAGCACAGTGATGTGGTTGTGCTATCACTCCTTAGTGTCTTGTTCACAAGCTCAGGTGGAGGACCAGCAAAGGTATTTAAAATTTTATTTTACCACATGTAAAAAATACTGAATGCAATAAATTCAAGTACTTCTTTACCCAGAACGAACAGTGTTTCAGACCTATGCTCATAGAAAATATGGGGGGTTTAGTTTAATTAGTGGTGAAATGATAAGATGTACTACTTGACATAATAAATATGACATTAAGAGAGAAACAGTGGGCGAAGCTGTTGCAGATCCATAGCAGGTATGTGAGAAGTTTTTTCTGTTTGTAGGCAGAAAGAAACCTTGAGAATGATTTTTGCACTTCAGCATTCTTTGTAATGGGATTTTTTTTTTGTTTGGGTTCAAACTGGCAAAAGGACATATATGCATTTAGTGGTCCTGGCCTTTAGGCACAGAGGTCCAGTAATGCAGTCCTTGCCTAGCCTCTTTAGTGTCTGTAGCTTTTCACGTACTCTGTTGTTTTTTGCCAAAAAGTTCTCTTAAGTACTTCAATGTCTGGATGAGCCTATACGTGCTGAATACTTGGGCCCAGCCTTTCACTTATCAGAGATGTATACCTGAAACCCTTTGTCTGAGTCACATTACACACAATTTTGCAAGGTGTTCTCTAACTGTGCCTAATCAGCCCTAAATAGAATGAGCTCATCCCAGCACCTAGCAGTCTTGGCCACCTTCCCTTAAAAACAGTGATGGAGGAAGATATGTTATGATGTCATATACCTGAGGCTAGACTACTTGCTGTGTAAGGGAAAGTCTGGCTTTGGTGCCGCCTCAGGCTGGGAGTTTTGAAATCTTTGTCTCATAACTGCTGCTGGAATCCCCTAATCACTTTTAGGCTAGCCTTAGAGTGAATAGCAAAGTCATCTGCTCTGACACTCTACCCCCACCCCCCTGAAATTCAGATGCTTAGGGCATCCGGCATGAAGCTCTTCAACTAGAAGACAATTTTTTTTCTCCAGCCATCCACCCAAAGGGTATATGTAGAGCTTCAGAGAGGTTCTTTGCCAATCTGTATCTTAGTGGGCCGTGCTTGGCAGTTAAACTGCAGCAGAAACAAGGGAGTGATAACCCTGTCCTCTGAATGTTTCAACTTCATGGAGTGAACTGTGGCAAAGAAGTCAGCTGACTTTCTGAAACACAACTGTGATAGCTGTATTTGGCTTTAAAAGATGAATTGTTATAGTAGTTTTTGGCTGAGGAGCTCAGCGTTTGCCAGGATGATGAATACCAAAATTGCAGTGTTTTAAGTCAGGGTGGTGAAAGCTCCGGGAGCTAGGATTTCATAGTTAACCTCTGTCCCTTCCTCACAAAAGCACCACAGAGCCCTGCTTTCTTGGAGCCTTTGCACAGTGCCCTAGCCTTTACCTCCCATAAGACAAGATACTACAATTTGTCCACTAGATCTTGTTTATAGCTCCTTGATGCTGCAAAATAATAAATCGTCAGGCTTAAGTAGCTCTGCTTTCTGGCAAGCAAAAACACACCATGAAGTTCGTAAGGTACAAGTTTCTGGCTTGTTACAGTGATGATTTGCCCTCGTTACCTGGTAGATGGTATAAATGGAAATGGATGGTATAAATAAAATGGAATAAATATAAAATTATATTGTCACGGTCACGTTTGCAAGAAAATGGGGGCTGTTTATAATGTTTTTCTTACCAAATTAAAGTACGCTTACATTGATCAGGAAGCAGGGAGAGAGGGGGCTGATTTCCTGGGGATTTTTACCATGGTATGGTATAAAAATGGTGTAAGAGTGTTATGGTATGATATAAAAATATCTGTGGGTTTTTTTGGTTTTTTTCTTTACAGACAAGAGGTGCTGCATTTTTCATCATAGCTGTCATCTGCTTACTACTTTTTGATAATGATGACCTCATGGCTAAAATAGCAGAACATCGTATCCTTTTCTTGCTATTTCTAAGAACAAGTGCCTGTTACTACTGAAGCAGAGAGAATGTGAAGTTGAATGCACTGAATTAAATATGCTTGCAGTTTTTTTATAGGAATCTTTCAAGAATATTATAGCATAAGATTTTACTTTTACTTTACCTAAATACTGGTATTTATGGCCAAATGAATGGCATTGCTTACTTTGTTGATAACTTAGAACACAGCTCTAGATTTTAAGTTGAAGTTAAAGGTTCCCTGCCCATCTGCACATATCAGACCACTTAGGATTGCTAGAAGCTTCTTTAATCAGCTCCCATTTTTTTTAGAAATTCTAGACATAATGGCTGTAGCCCAAGTATGTGCAGTAAATGGTTGACAGCCTGGCTGGCAGTCTTTTTGCTATATCCAGAAAGATTGTTTTGTGCTTTTGCAAATGTGGTAATCTCAGTTCATCTGCTAAACTGAGAAGTGATGTAAAATAGCCTATGGTAGCTCCAACAACAATGGACTTCAAACTGCAAGTGGAAGCTAGCTAACATGCTCTCAAAGCCAGTGAGTTAGCTGGAAGGGATCTGAAGTAAATTTTCACCAAGTCTTACCATAGTCACATGTACTGTCAAAAAGCGGTATATCTAAGGATGGGCAGTAAAAACAAAGCAGATGAAAGTAAACTTTCTCAAAAAGGATAAAAACATGGATTACAGATACAAATGGTATATTCAGGAGTAGTATCAATTAATCCACTTGAGTTTTCAGTGAGTAAATTCATTGTTAAAGTGCCCTCTAGTAGTTTTCCCAAAAGCTATCATTATTTTAATCTTTGCTGGATTGTGCTTGTCAATTACTCTTTGTTTTCTAGAGTTTAAATATTTAGAAACTGGAAAGATATAGATCATATTTTAGATGCCTTGCTGTTTTAGTGCTTTTAGTGAAAATCAATCTAATTTTTAATGCTATTTTCAAAGTCTGGTTGCCAAAAGTAACATAAATCCTGTGTCATGACTACTGTGCAGTATTTAACAGTGACTGTGTTCTCATAAATTTTTTTTTTTTTTTTTTTTTTTTTTTCCCCCCCCAATATTTTTTACTATTTATTTTCTGTGGAAATATTTCCATCTTTCCTAAATTTTAAGGATCCAATGAACCTTAAAGCTCAGTTTGCTTACTTCTGCTTCCCATGGTCTTCTGGCACATCTACCTGTTCTTTGGTTTTAAGAAAAAAATCATAAAATGAAACTCTTCCTTAATTTTTTTCTAATTTAGCTGAGGGGCATCATGACAGCGCCCTTACCCATGTTCTGTATACAATCATTGCTTTCCTGGGTGTTGCAGATCACAAGGTAAAGAACTTGTATTTTAGTAGATTAATACTAATCTAAGTTTCAGAGATAAGAATTTCACCAGCTCAGAGCCTAATCCAAGCCTAAATCAAAACCAAAAAGTTCAACATCCCCACCCCTGAACTAGCTCTGTAATTTTTACATTTTGATTGAGTACAAGCAGCTTCAACATAGCAAGCCAAACCATACAATATTCAACTTGTGTAGCTGGTAAGGACTTTGCTGTCATGTGTAACCTAAAAAGTCTCATTAAAGTTACCATAAAGTACACTGTGTCATCAGGGCTCTGGATGTTCATAATGCTTTGCATACAATATGTCTTGCTCACTTTGGAGGTCTGTGTTTTGTTGCTGCATCTTTATCTTTCCCCAGCCTTTCCTTTATATTAGATGCTTGTATTTGAAGTCACAGATTCTGATACTTCTCAGTAGGCTAGTCCCATTATAATTGGTGGCATGAGTAGCTGACTGTCAAAATCTTACTGGATGGGATTGACCTGGCAGATTGAGTTGTTCTCTTAGCTTAGTCCTGTTGCTAAAGAGGCTGTGCTGAGGCCCAAAACGAAAAAAAAAAATATGGAGCAGTTGAGAAAGTGTTAATATCAGAATATGAGAAAGTTACTATAAAAATAAATCAGATGTTAGAGAGACTGGCTAGCTGTGTGCAAAGCAAGTGTGCAAAGCAAGTGTGGCCTAAGGGAGATGAGATGCTCTTTGTGTATCTTGTGATTCATTTATAGAACAGTTTTGAAAGAAAATGTTCTGAAGAAATACGCAATTAAAGGTAACTGAATGAAAAGGTTATGAAAGGATTAGAAGCCAAGGTGACATGACACTTTTGGGGTTTACATATACTTTCAACACTTTTAATAATGGAAGATGGAAAAGACAGGTTTGTGTGATTTTTCTTTTTCCTCGTAGGCTGTTTGCTACCAGTTTGCTGCTGTTGTATGCCAATTAACACTATTGAGACTTTTAAACTTGAAGTCATATTAGGCTGTGAATAGTGCTGAGGTATAACCGTGTATGCTATACTGTTTTTAACTAGAGTAACAATTGCAGGAAATATCCTGTCTTTGGCTTTTGTTGATAAGTTAAGGAAAGTGTATTAATCTTTTTTCATGTAAGTGTCACTTTGTTTGCAGTGAGGTATTTGGCTCTCAAGAAATGCTAATGGGATCTCTCTATGTTTCCAGGGAGGAGTACTGCTTCTGGTATTGGCATTGTGCTGTAAGGTTGGTTTTCACATGGCTTCCAGAAAACTATCTGTAGATGTAGGTGGAGCCAAGCGTCTTCAAGCTTTGTCTCATCTTGTTTCCGTCCTTCTGTTGTGCCCCTGGGTCATTGTTCTCTCTCTGACAACAGAGGTAAGATAGCTATATGTGTCTTGTTATAGGTGGAATGTTGGTTTTATATGATAAATTGGAAGTATAAAAGTATTTATGCTTTGATGGATGGCTGAAAACATGTCATGAAAGTGAACTAGATTTAATGCTGTATATACAATCACATCTAATGGTGAACAATCCTGTTTGAAATGTTTTCTTTGTTGCAGAGTAAAGTAGAGTCTTGGTCTTCTCTCATCATGCCTTTCATAACAGTCATCTTTTTTGTTGTGATCCTGGATTTCTACGTGGAGTCCATATGCTCTGTCAAGATGGAAGCTTCCACATGTGCTCGATATGGATCCTTTCTTATTTTCATTAGTGCACTGCTTTTTGGCAACTTCTGGACTCACCCAATAACAGACCAGCTTCGAGCAATGAACAAGCCACCACACCATGAGAGCACAGAGCATGTTCTTTCTGGAGGGGTGGTAGTGAGTGCTGTCTTCTTCATTTTATGTACGTATTCTTATTTATCTTTTAATAAATCTATTGTCTGTCTGACTGGGAAGCCAATCAGAAAATTGATGCATGCAGAATTCTTTTGGATGAGCTTTTATAGATTCTTTTGAGTAAAAAGGGCCTGTAACTTTTTGCTCTTTTACCGCCTGTCTGCAAAAAAGAGAATGTAGTAGATCTGTTCTGTTGTGGAAGTGATGATCTAATCTTACACAGCAGTGAGACCTAATGCTAAGCCTCGAGGTGAAGTTGACAATCACTTTGCTGCCTGCAAATTTCATGTGAGCTTTGATTGCTGATAAAACACGTTATAAAATAGCTGTGAAGCTTAGAAACAGCAACAAAAACTTCAATACTTTCCTTGCAGCTGCCAATATCCTGTCCTCCCCCTCCAGGAAAGGGCAGAAGGGTACCCTTATTGGCTATTCCCCTGAAGGCACTCCTCTCTATAACTTCATGGGTGATGCATTACAGCAGAGCTCTCAGTCATTACCCCGGTTTATTAAAGAGTCACTGAAACAAATCCTTGAGGAGTATGACTCTAGGCAGATCTTCTATTTCTTGTGCCTAAACCTGGTAAGTGCATGTTTTTTTCAAACCAAACCACAGTAGTACATACATAGTACAGTAAGAAGAGTTATTCTTTAAAAGGTTCCTATGATTGCTTGTTTTTAAAGTGAGTAGTCTCATTACATGGAATGTTAAAATAGAAGATGTTTATGCTGATCTTAGAGTAAGTGTCAGGTCACTTTGATTTGTTGTCGGAGTGTAGCACTGGTTCTTTGTGTAACTCTTGTACCAGTAATAATATTTGTATGATGGTATGTTTAAGATAAGCTGAGACTAATACAGGCTTCAAGGATGGGGACAACAAAATAGTAAGTGTGGGATTGAGTAGTGTGATTTTGGAGAATGCTGGTTTTATTTCTAGCTTCCCTCTTCCTCAAATAGCAAGAGATTATGCAGTAAGCAACATTGATAGAACTTATTTGCAAAGAACTCTCTTTGTTCTGTGGCAATTATCCAAGAAAATAGGGGGAGAAACTTCAAGTATCCATGATAACTTCAAGGAATTCCATTACAGAATAAGAAAGATGGGAAAGAAAGTTTATAGGCAGACCAGTTAGTAATAGTAAATTGTTCAGGGAAAATATATTGAAAATATTTCCTCATGTACCCTTCTCAAAACTAATTCACAAGATTTAAACAGTCAACTAAGTGGTGAAGAAAATTTTTACAGAACATGCATAGACAGCATTGCTATTACATTAATAATAGGTCAGATCAGAGCTGTTGCATTGTTTAATGGCAAAATGCTATATAAACTTTGTCTGCGCAGTGTTAGGTTATTACTAAATGAAAACTTAAATCTGCTCCTGTAGAGGGTGGTTTTCTTAGGTCTAAGGCTTTTGGGAGGGTAGGTTCAAAAATGTCTCTTCATAGACTTGGAATGTATCACATATTTTTGTTTCATTAGAGGAGAGAAAAAATAGTCTATAAATACTTTGAACAATATCTTTGAAAACTATCAAGTGTCCTATGAAAAGAGTTTCCTGCAAGCTACCAAGACATTAAATTACAAGTTAATGTTTGAGGAATAATTGAAACTCTCTTTCGTTTTAGGCTTTCACTTTTGTGGAGCTTTTTTATGGAGTATGGACCAATAGCCTTGGTCTTATTTCTGATGGATTTCACATGCTTTTTGATTGTTCTGCATTAGTGATGGGGCTTTTTGCAGCTCTGATGACAAGATGGAAAGCAACTCGCATATTTTCCTATGGGTATGTATATTAGGTTCTTTAAGGACTATCTGAAAATTATCCTACTCGGTCATTTTCAAAATGCCCTGCTATAAAGATATGTTTGGGATGTTTCAATGGTGCGTGCTTCTGTGTTTTTTTTGCTGTGTCTCTCTTCTGTTCCATTTGTGTTCATGCTCTTCCCCTCTTACCGCGCTGAAAAAGTACCTGAGATGTAGTTGTCATTTATTTCTACAAATAAAACTTTATCACTGTGAATATTATGTAGAAATCGCCTCACTCTATACATGTGCGTATGTCAAACAAAAATATATATTGAAAATCAGTATGTATGAGGATTTCAATTGTGCTGACATAATCAAAATTTGTATGGTTAAACTGCATAGCAGTTCAGCAGTTTGAAGCCCTGAATAGGCAGTATGTATACAAAAAATACTTATATGATTATAGCCTTATACTATTGGTGTTTGGACAGTTGCAAACTAGCTTCCTCTTGGTCAGAAATAAATAACACAGAAATTAAGGCATGATTTTGTGACATTGAGGAAAAAAAATCAAAGCAATCTTAATGCTGTGTTAAGTGTATTATAACTTTGAAATTTGTTCGGAGTACTGTTCTTCACTCTCAAAAGTACCTATGTTTGCTTTCAGATATGGACGTGTAGAAATTCTCTCTGGATTTATTAATGGGCTCTTTCTGATGGTAATTGCTTTCTTTGTCTTTATGGAATCAGTGGCCAGACTGGTGGATCCTCCAGACATAGATACAAATATGCTAACTGTAAGTTTTGTCATTCTGTTTGAATGTTGTTTGGCAGTTAATGGTTCATTGATGTTTGTCTTAAAAAAAAAAAAAAATTAAGGAGACTAAAGTTGCATACTCGAGAAACCTAAACTGTGCCTTGACTTTTTTAACATATTCTAATTTTAAAATCCAAACTACATCTAATTTTAAAATACAAAAATATATAGAGGAGAATATAATTTAATTATAACAGTTAAATTTATTTTTTTTTCTGAGATGTTACAGCTGTAATCTTTTTAGACAGTGGTCTTTCTACAATAAACGGTGCTAAGGAATAATCTGTACAAGACTAAATTTGGTTCTGTTGTTACGTATACCAATGTCAATTATTACAGAAAAGATTTTGTATTCATTTCTGAGAAACCTCAGAAATCAGCCAGAATTCATAATACTATGCTGGGCATGTTCCTATGGCATAAACAATCATGAAGGTGTGCATAGCTAACCGTAACTATGCCTGTGCCTCTCTACCTTGCACAGCCTCTTCAGGGGCTCCCCACTTACCTTTTTAAGCTTCCACCCCTTTCTTTCAAATGCAATGGTTCATTTTCTTTAAACTAAATTTTTTATTGTGGATTTCTGCAAATCCAAGCCTTCATTTATGACATTTCCAGCATCACTTGTTTTCTCTCTCTCACACACACACATGCGCATGAATTTGTGCTCTCCTGCTCTCTTCAGTAACAAAGATTTTTATGTAGGCACAATTAGAAATGTGCTTTACTGGAATCAAAGCCTGATTTTTTTTTTTTTCTTTTTAATCTTCAATATTTGCTCCATTTTCACTACAGATTTTGTTTCTTGGGGGTGCCCCCTCCACATGAGAACAGTCTGCATAGCCAAGGAGAGGTCTAATAACCCATGAGTAGGACTGGCTTAACTCCTTTATTAGCTGGAATTACTCTTACACTCTGCTAGTTTTTCAAGAGAAGAGTAGGAAAATAGGCAGACAGGTAAAAAACACAACCAATAAAGTTGTTGTCTCCAGTTCAGTACAATTGTAGATGAGTGTGCATGTCCTAGATACAGTACACATTTTTTTTTTTTTGGCCAATGAAAGCAAAGGAAAGCTTGTATTCAAATCACTTTATTTCTTTTTGAAAGCAAATAAAATCAATCACCCCTTCTTAAAACTGAATTTGCTATCTTGTCCTGATTTGTGCATACTAGGTTTTGCACTTTGGTGTTGGTTGTTGGGTGGGGTTTTTGGGAAGGTTGAGGAGAATTGGATTTTTTTGAGAGGGGAAGAAAATTCCTTTGAAATCAGTTTGTGTACTGAAAGGAATATAATGAGGAATCCACATTAGAATAATCCTTCTGTTGATGTTAATGCTTCCACAGTTTTTCTTTATTAGGCGTAGAGTGTTTCTGATTACCACGTTCTAGAAAATAAACTTGAACACCTGGGAAGATGTAGCGATGTTAAAAGACTTTTCTCCCTCTCACAGCCAGTCTCTGTTGGAGGGCTGATTGTAAACCTTGTTGGCATCTGTGCCTTTAGCCATGCGCACTCCCATGGGGCTTCTCGGGGAGGTTGTCACTCGCACGATCACAGCCATTCTCACCACGGGCACAGCCACAGCCATGGGCACGGCCATTCCCACAGTGACCATGGCCACAGCCATGGACATTCCCACGGGTCTTCTGGTGGAGGCATGAATACCAACATGAGAGGCAAGTTGTTGAATTGTAAATGATGTATGTGATGATTCAAAGATTTTCAGAATCAGACCCTGTACTATGCATCATTCTTAAAATCTCCAGAAGTGATCTGACAGCCATTTATTGTAGTATATGTGAGTTTCTCAAACTCTTTCTTCATTAGTGAGTTTAACTTGAAGAAACATAACTTGAAATGTTTCTTTGCATGGCTTTCTTAGATGTGGGTAATACCTAAGGACCAGTAAAAAGCGTTCGTCTAGTCTTCTTTAATACTAATAAACAGTCATTGTAAACCTTATTGAAAGAGCTTTAAGTCAATGGTTCTAAGTTCCATCTGGAAGTGAAAGTACAAGATCTCTATCTGTAAAGATACTACCGTGCTTCTAGGTATCTTACGACAGCTGATTGTAAAAACACTGGGGGAGGGGATAAGAAGCAGAAGAATAAATGCAGACCAGCAGTCTAGAATATGCTTCTGTTTGAGATTCAGAAGATAAGGTGGTAAAGATGAAACTTTCTTTTTCAGATCTAAAATACGACCCTGAGAAGGGTTACATATAAAATTTCAGCATAGCTACTTCTTAGAATTTTTTCCTGGTAGTTAGAAGGTAGTTATTTACCAACTGCCTGCCTCATTAAAAAAAAAATCTATAAAGGAATGCGTTTTTTGTGTAAGCTTGTCAGAGCATAAGCTTTTTGGCTAATAGTCTCATACTTCTTCGGTTATTTTATGTACTAATTCAGGTGGCTATTCTGTTGTCTGGTGTTTTTGTGAAGTTTGCCCATACTCTTAACTATTTCAATATTCTTTCAAATCCTGACACTTAGCTAGCACTAATCTTACAAATGGTTAGAGATTTTTTTTCTGTACCCTTTGAGTGTATGCTGAGAATGCTACCCACTATTAAAGCGGTCAGTATAAAGGATTATTCCTAACCGTAGCAGATAGACCATCTCCTTATAAAATAGGTGCAGAGTTGGCATACAAAACCCAAATGATGCATTAAAATCTGTCCACGTTAGCAGGCCAAGGTATTTACACTGACCTTTTTATCCTCTGTTAAGGATCAGTTACAGAGTTAAATGATTATGCAATACAGCACAAATCCCACTAACAATTTAAAGATTATTCACATTTGGTGTAGTCTGCAAATGCCTGCCTAGATCATTGCACTGTAGAGTAAAGACGGAGGGTTTTTACATTGATTTGTAATTAAATATTAGAAAAGCTAAATGTTTTGTTTAATTTTGCACCCGGTTAGGCAGATAGTTGCCTCTGTTTAGCTTGAGGGGTGTTTCTTACATTTAATGAACTCTGCTGTGTTTCTGCTATTGAACATGCATGTACATTTTAAAACAGAACTGTTCAACTTAATCACTCAAGTTTATTTTGTTTTCAGGTGTGTTTCTGCATGTGTTAGCAGACACTCTTGGCAGTGTTGGTGTTATCGTATCCACAATATTTATTCAGCAATTTGGATGGCTCATAGCTGATCCTCTCTGCTCTCTTTTTATTGCTACATTGATTTTTCTTAGTGTTATCCCACTGTTGAAAGATGCCTGCCAAGTGCTTTTATTGAGGATACCTCCAGAACAGGAGAAAGATCTGCATGCTGCTTTGGAAAAGGTCAGAACTACAGTTCTAAGTGTTTTCATGTATACAAACATACAAAGCTATAACCGTTTTTATAATTATTAAATTCAAGTAGTTCAGTCTGACAGCTTCCATTGTCTTAGGCAACTTCATGTCCCAATTGTTTTAAATCAATTTTGCAGAGATGTGACAGGATTAGGAGTTCTACTGATTGAAGTTATTTTGCAACTAAAAAAACCTTGTATTGTTTTTTGCTTTTATGAGTCGCTCATGATTTCAGACAATATAGTAACACTGTAGGAAAGGTACTTAGTACTAAGAAAGTACCGTAGCAATTTCCAAAAGCTTGTGGCCTTTAAACTTGGTGTGTACAGTTCAGGCTACAGGATTATATCCCGAGCCCATAATTGCAGGTTTTCTTACTTGTCTGTATCTTGAAGGTCATGCTGATACACAGTAGGTGAGATGGCAAAAGTAAAGCCATTTATTCTAAATAGTTTTTCATTCTAGTCCATTTTCTTCGTGTCTGCTGCAATACGGTACCTACTTTGAGGCTGTACTTAGTCTTCACTGTTGGCTCATTTGAATTTCCTGCCGAGAATCATAGTGCAGATCTCGGTGTGAAGAACTCCTGTTTGAAAGTAGTTTCTACACCACGCCCCAAAACTTGCTTCTTAATATTACTGTCCAGTTCAGCAGCAGCCTTTCCTGAGCTTTAAGTTGTTTGAGGCTTGCAAAAAAGATGTCTAAGGCTACGCAGAACTCCATGTACACAGCGCGTGCCCAGTCACAACAGGCTGCAGTCCCAAATGGTGGCCCCAGCGACACCACAGTACAGTCAAACGCTCTGCGTACCGCCTCAGCAGCACATAGTACAAGAGTATCTCGTTCCTCTTTGTACAACCCATCATCTTCAGCTCTAAATGTTGTTTAGTGACCAAGTAAACGGAATACATCCTCTAGACAGTCTACTCATTACTTGCACTATTAGCAAAAACCTGATTGAACCTTTCCAGTCTTGCATTCATCTAGGTTTCTGCGAGCTGTCAATGTTTTAATATTTTAAATGCTGCCCCAGTGCTTAACAGCATAGGCGTAATGAGTTAGTTTAACAGCTACATTAGTTTCAGTCCAGAGTAGGTATAACGTGTGCATATGCAGATCTGACATGAATCTAGGACAGTCTTCTGAAACGAAGAATCCACGAAGACTGGTTCAGGTGCATGTGATTTTAAATCATAAAATGATAAATTATGGGAAGGTGTTATGTCTCTGAATTAAGTCCAACTATGACAGCTAAATAGCTGCTTATCCTGGATAGTGAGGTAACAGATGCCCTAGAAATGGTTAATTGCCCAGCCAGCTTTCCGGTTGGTCTGTCCATTGATGTTACTGTGATCTGTACACTGAATCAGTTTTTCTCGTCCTATTTAGCATTGCACTCTGCTGGGTTTTTCATTTAGTCTGACTTTAGCTTCTGGTCTTCGGCAGTATTACTCAACGCTACCTAGTTCTGCAAACAGCTTAGCTGGAAAGCTGCTTTACTGCACAGCTTCATTTTCCCTGTAAAGTATTTGCCACCAATATCCATGTACATAAGTTTAAAATGTGTTCTTGAATTAATTGTTGCTAACGTAATTACTTTACAGATTCAAAAAATAGAGGGAGTCATATCCTACAGAGATCCTCATTTTTGGTGTCACTCTGCAAGTGTTGTGGCAGGTACAATACATGTGCAAGTGGTATCAGATGTGATGGAACAGAGAATTGTGCAGCAGGTAAGATGCAAGCTTTTTAGACCCTAATGTCTTCAGACCCTAATTTCTTACTCCATAGCCCTTTTTCAGTCACAGGCTAAAGCTTGAAGCTGCTGTTTGTGATTATTTTTATAGCTGTTAATTAATGTTTCAGAGCTGGTCTTTAATGCTCTACTTCCCCTTGCCTGCTCTCTTGGAATTCGTTGCATAAAGAGTTGTTCGCTAAAACATCTGCCAAAAGAACAAAAAAAAAGTCTGCGTGTTATTTTTTCTCACTGTTGAAAGTGGCACTACATCTGCTCTGAGAAAAGGAGGAGGAGGTGGATCTCATGCTGCAGAACAGGCAGTAAACAGTAGGGATATCTGGATGCTAATCGCAGCTTTATAACTGGCTTGCTAGTATCTGTCTGCCTTGGTTGTTTTTTTTTCTTTAAATAGATAGTCATTTCCATATGCCAGACACTGAGAATTATCCATTATGCAGAAGTTGGAAAGCCATACCCTCTGCAGCTAGTCTTCACTTTCCAGAAAATTGAATTCTTTATGATGCCTGGGGGTTTTTTAAGCTACGGTATTTCAGAGCCAGAATATTGCAAGTTACGGTGAGGTGCACATGAAGTGTAATACTCATGTTAACCATACTGTTCCATTCAGGTTACAGCGATTCTGAAAGATGCTGGTGTAAACAACCTAACTGTCCAAGTGGAGAAGGAAGCTTATTTTCAACACATGTCCGGACTCAGCACAGGATTTCAGGATGTCCTTGCAATGACTCAGCAACTGGAATCCATGAAATACTACAAAGATGGTACTTACATCATGTGATCCAAAGTTGGGCTCACCAAAGGAGGTGTAAATGGTGACGCTGTGGGATTCCATATTTGTATTACTTTTTGTCAGGAGATCTTGCACATATATGTACAGAAACAAATGTACTATATATTTGAATTTTTTTAAGCATACTACCTTTATTAAAATTGAATCAAGGTGCTTTTATAAAAGAAATAAGAGGGAGTTGAATATTTGCTGTGTATGTGAAAATAACGGAAATCTTAAATACTGTACTTGGTGTTTATTAAACAGAAGTCTTGCAACTTGTGGGTTAGCACAGATATATTCCACACTTTTCTCATAAGTATGGAACATCGTGATGATAATTTCATGTTAGCAGTGGAAAATGGAAATAGTTTATATTGGAATGCAAACATAATCAACTGAAAAATATTTTTCTTCAAACATAGCTTGAAAACTTTGAATGAAAAAAAATTACACATTTGTTATGGGGAGTAAAAACCAACGTGAAGCAGTGGTTTTTGCACACTGTGTTAGATAATACAAATACACGGTTTTTGTGTTATGTCTTGGCATACAAATCCGATTCCTAAACTTAATGCATCAGAGCAAATAGATGTTACCATTTTAACTATGTATCAAAATATTTTTTTAAGGAGACAAATCCACAGGTTAACAGTGAAAAATTGGGAGGGGAAAAAATCGCAGACACTTTTTTGTTGCCTGGGAAGACTCAGAATCAAAATACCACCCTAAAAGTAACCTTTTTGTACTTTTTTTATGAATAACTGCAAATTCAGTAGTTCAAAGCTTAAAGTAATTCATCAGTGAGCTTCCTAGCACTCAGCTAAACTTCACCTCTTCAAGATATGTTATTCTGTTATTTACTTGGTTTCTTTCATAATAACACAGCTGCAGGTGTTCTGTAGCCAGCTGTACCTTTGCGATGGGGTCGTCTCCCGTGATCGGACTGTTTACCCAAACTGGATAGTTTCTTCTGTAAGCGCTAAACAAGTTTGCATTCCATTCTCTTCCTCCAGCTCTCAGTTAAACAACACTATCTGTAGGAGGAGAGGACTGGTTTGAAAAACCGCAGTCAGGAAGTCTCTAGAAGTTGCCTTGCTCTTACACAGAGCGATGAATATGGGCTACGCAAATCACAGCCCCTCATTTCTCAGGATAGTGCTGCAGAACCAGCTGAGTTCTCAAACCTTGATCCTGTTTTCTGACGATTTATGCCTTTGGCAGTGGTTTTCTCACCTTGCCTCCTCCAGAAGGCTGGGGTCAGTTGCCTGGCAGGGCTACAATTACACTCAGCCTATAAGCAGGGTGACGTTTTGGTTTTGAAAACCGTTTTCAAACAAAAATGTGCCACTCATATTTCAGGTTGCCACTCATATTTGAGGCGATGCTGCTGGAGCTGACATCATTTCACCAAACAGAGCACTAGAACTGAGCATCATGACAGGCAGAGGAAGAAGGGGGTGATTCTTTTCGCATCAAGTTAGCTTAACATAACTGGAAAGCCTCCGTGCTTGCCACAGCGTTCTCTGAGCTGATGCCGACTCCCCGCTGCGGCTGCTACCGACAGGACCCGAAACAAATGGAGGTAGCTGGGGCTGCGTTAGCCGGTCATGGCAGTGAAGATCAGCTCGCACCCAGTTGCTTCGCAGGCGAGTGCAAACCTGCAGCTTAACGCGCATCAGCAGCTTTTTGTGTGTCACCAACGCACACGCACACACACGGTATTTTTCCTGGCTGCCCTGACAGGAGGACGATGGCGATAAATGTCTCGAATTTGTTTAACAACAGTCCGTACCTGGCAAGAATCCTCCAAAGAAGGGTTCAGGCTTTGCCTCCCCCCACCCCCCACCCCAGCTACCTGGCAAGATGTTAGAACCGTGCTGTAAGGGCAGGTTTTCAAATCACGGGTACAGGCCAACTAATTTATATTTTAAGACGGTTGCAACAAAGCACGTTCAAAGGTGAAACAAAGCTTTTACAACGCCCCGCAGCTGTGTGTCGTACGGCGTGACAGCGGGCCGTGTACATGTGCAGAATAGCGAGAAAATAAACGCGTTTTTTGATTTTACACAGCGCGCCCTGGCTTTTCAGGGTAAGAGGTGAACTGGCGCGGAAGCAGGCAAGTGCTTGAAGCAAAAGCCTGCGGGCGGAGCGGGGCTGGCGGGGCGGGGGCTGCCGGCCCGCGGCGGGCAGCTTGGGAGC